AACATTCCAGACGAACCTTTTAAAGCGAAGAATTTTATCGTTTTTTGCACCTGTTTCTGTCCCTGAACTCTAAAAGTTCAGACGTAGAGGAATCTTAAAACCAACAGTCGTCGAAGATTGAGTGAAAGTATTTAAGTTTTGAATGTTCATTTAATGCCACACTGTGAAACGTTCCAGACAAAGCTATAACATCTCCTTGGAGAAAACCAATTTGACGGACGCCCCATCAGAAAAAGTTACACAATGCACCTTTTAGAAGACAGAATTTAATTTGTTTTTTGCAACATTTTTTGTTCCCTAAACCCAGAAAGTTCAGATGTAGAAGAACCTTAAAACAAACAATCGTCGAAGATTTAATGAAAGTATTTAAGTTCTGAGTGTTCATTTAATGCCACACTGTGAAACATTCCAGACAAAGCAATAACATCTCCACAAAGAAAACCATCCACCAGAAAAGTTACGCAACACACCTTTAAAACCGCAATGCAAATGGGTCCAGGTCCCCCTCCTCCTCCTCCTCCTCCTCTTCTTCTTCTTGTTCTCTCCAATCTTTGACTTCCTGTCCTCCGAGCCCAATGATTAATGCAAGGCTCTTAAATTAGGCGTGGGAGGATTCGCCGATATCGGACACGCTCGCGACGCGGCCGGCAGACAAACGCTAATAGCATGTAGCGCTAATCTTTGACCGTTTACATGGACAGGCCCTTCCTCAAACGCCGCTGTCCGCGAAAAAGACGAGCGGTCGAGCCGGGGCTGTATCTGATGATGAAGAGGAGAGCGACGGGGGTTAATGGGCCGTGGTTAGCCGTGTATAAGTGAGGTAAAAGTTTAAATATGGCTCAGTTGACGACAAACAGTCCCCATGGTAACCGATGAGCGCGGTAATAAGGCGAAAACTGCTCGTCGTCGTCGTCCTGAATCTGTAATTTGACAGTTCCCTCTGGAAGGTGCTCGAGACGACGGGAGAAAAGATAATTAAAAAGACCAGAGGGAGCGGAGTTCGTAAGCGTACGGTTTTAGAAAGTTATTAGAAACTGTTGGTACAGCGGAGGTGATGCTAACTGGAGGCACTGCTACGTCTGAGGTTTTGTTAGACCAGGGGTCGGCAACCCGCGGCTCCGGAGCCGCATACGGCTCTTTAGCACTCCCCTAGTGGCTCCCTGAAGCTTTTTCAAAAATGAGTGAAAATGGAAAAGGAATGATTTTTTTGTTGTTGTTTTAATCTGGTTTGTTTCGGGGTAAAACCCTCGTTCATCTCTGGTCATAGATCTGATCCATCAGCTGTGTGCAAACGCAAACACATGAAAAATGTTTCAGCAGAACAAACAGATGAACTGAAGTGGGGGTGGTGTCCGGTGCCTCCACCTGAGAATGCCTTTCTGCCCTGAAAAAAAAAAAAGTTTATTTCAGTTTACACACAAACGTGAAACCGGAGTTTTTAGAAAGATTCGTTTTCAGAGGCGAATTCGCCGTTTGCATGTAAACGATGTGAACAAACGAAGGGAAATGTCTCCGTTTTTTAAAAATACCCGTGTACGTGTAAACGGGGCCTAAATGACAAAGGAATAAACACTAACCACCTGATTTCAGTGGCTACAGACGGAGCAGCGAGTATGAGAGGGTCAAAAGGGGTTTGTGTATCATGAATGTTCATTTTATATTTGTAGCCGACTTAGTCATTTTAATAGTCGGCTTATATATCTAATATACTGACAGTCTATGTTGCCTTCATATTAGGCTTATATGAGGCTTTTCATTTTTTGCGGCTCCAGGCAGGTCTGGTTTTTGTTTTTTTGGGCCAATATGGCTCTTTGAACATTTTGGGTTGCCGACCCCTGTGTTAGACGTTTAAGGGCCCAAGTTTTCTGATCCGTGTTATTAGGCGGTTTCCTCATCAAAAACACATCTGGATTTGTGTTTTGTTTCATTGGCCACGTTTACATGATGTTTTTTTAATTGTGCGAGATGCCACTGCCGAGTATCAATACGCGGGTTTCATTGTGGCGTCGTCAACAGATCCGCAGACTTATTGGCCGCAGCGTTTTTGACAGGAGGAGGTGGAGTGAGTTCTATTGATTATCCGCTGACAATGGACGATGGTTTTATCCATTATTAAGCAGCGTCGAGGCGTGTACTCCCAAACCACACGCCGCTACGTCCAAACTGCTTTTTATTATTTAGTATTTCATCTGACTGACCCGCAACATAAACATACTATCATTTAAAGATTAAAGATTGGATTATTATGTTTTTTTTAGCTGACTACCATGTTATAATGTCACGCCCTGAAGTGATTTTAGAGTCGTCCAGGCACGTTTGAGTGTTTTTGCGATCTCTCCTGGGGCCTATTCAAACCCTCCTTACGTTTTAGACTTCACATTCTGTACGAGGCTCCGCCCACAAGTCTACGTCACCCCTGCTCCCACACGATCAAAATGCAAATGTTCAAGATACAATTAAAAATTGAAGGAGCTTCATAAAATACATATGACTGGTACCATATGAAAGGTCTTTTTCCGGTCTTTCAAATAAAATTTATTCAAAATTTTTTCATCACTACCCACATGCCATAAATTACATGTGAAAATCAGACCATGTTACGTTTTCTTGTTTTTAACAAGAGCCTCACACATAAACTATTTCACGTTTTGAACATTTGGTGATTTCTTTTAACAGTCCTAGTACATGTCTTGATTCTCAAAAAAATTTCTACGAGTAGGTTTAAAAAGGGGCTAAAAATGGTACGCCACGGAAATAAACAAGTTTTTTTTTCATTTTTAAGTTCATATAAAATGACAATGAGTTGAGATACCAAACTTTCGATAGATGTTATTTGAACACAGAGTAGAGGAGCACAAGTCTACAAACTTTCATCTCTCTATGTGTGATTGTTACGGAGATATCGACCTGTGAAAACGGCCGAGAAAAAATGACGCGATTTTGGGCCTGAAAATGGACACATCCTCCCCTCACGAAATGAACTGTAACTTGAAAAGTATTGATCGAAAATCACTAAAACTTCACAGGGTTGGCACATGATTGGTGAAATGGCGTGGAATGACCCTCATAAGTACAAAAACATGACACCGTTAACGAGATGCATGATGTTTGTGTGTTAGTGCTCTGAAGGGGGAGTGATTATTGAACTTATAAAGCTGTTAACACATAGTTTTCTGGCAAAATTACTCGTCATGATGGCAAAGGAGAAGTTCAATTTGTCAACTGGACAAACATTTATTTAGGGGGTAAAGCTAACGGCACCTAACGCACTTCCTGATGATTATTTAGACAATTTATAAGTTGCCGTGTGTAACTAGGAATAACGGACCAGACACAGGCAGCTCCCAAACGTAATAATGTGGGCAACTTTTATTTCCCGACTGTCCTCAGAAGAGAGCAGCATTATTTACCTCCGCCAAGGAGGTTATGTTTTTGCCGGCGTTTGTTTGTTTGTTTGTCTGTTGGTTTGTCTGTTTGTCTGTTTGTCTGTTTGTTTGTTTGTTTGTCTGTTAGCAACATAACTCAAAATGTTATGGACCAATTTTGATGAAATTTTCAGGATTTGTTGGAAATGTGAAAAGGAAGAACTGATTTCATTTTGGGGGTGATCCGGAAGAAATCCTGGATTCTGGATCACTTTGAAATTTTAGTTAACATTGTGGTAAATGGGGCCAAAAATTTTGTTTCTCAATATCTGGGTTAATTATTGACCAAACCCCATGAAATTTGACTCAGGGATGGACAATGGGATCCTCTTTCATATTCCAAATTGAAAGATACGAGACAAATATTTATGGAAAACACAATTAATATGAGGGGGACTGTAGTCCTTGGCGGAGGTCTGCGCTCTCTGAGTGCTTTTCTAGTTTTGGTTTGATTTGGCTTTTTTGGAAGATGACTTAAATGGTTAACAACTGTCAGGATTCACAGTATCTGGCTTTATTTTGTCTTTGTTCCAACAAAAATGTGTTCTCTCAACAATAAAATAAAACAACACTAAATAAAAGACAACAGTAGTGGGTTTATCCTACAATAAACCAAAGAATAAACACCACTTGGTATCCATTTCAATTGGCAAGTACACAAAATAAAATTACATTAGTCATTAACACTGTGTAACGGTCAACTTGAACTCACTCACAAAATGGCTGACAGACTGTCCAGACCAACCCAGCACTCTGAAGGACGTGGACAGTGCTCTCTAACATTTGGTCTCGCATAAAAGAATACATAAACAGTCATAAACAGTTCTTTACATTACATATTATTCATATTTAACACTCACGCCTTCATGCAGAACAACTTTTCCCCTACGTGAGCAACTCAGCAGGATCACACTTTTCAGGACAGCAAGTCAATCTACATCAATCTTCAATTGTACGAATCAATACAACAATCTTGAGATATGAGGCTCATTAAAGCCTTGTCTAACAATATCTAAGATTATTTCCCTGTTTCGCAGTCATTTAAATGTTCATTTTTACTAATACACACTGTTTTATGTCAGTCTCTTGTTGAGGCGCTCAGCCTGTTGTGCAGTGATGACATCACACGCGCTTCTTCTAACAACCACTCAATCACCCAGCCTGACCACACTACCCCCTATAGGTTACACAGAGAATTGCAGCTATTTCTAAAAACAGTATTTTATAGTCCACCTGGCTACATATAATTAGATGCAGACACCACGCAGGTCAAAATAAGCTCAAAAACGTGAGAAAATTGTGTTACAGTTTACAATTTTATGTATGAAATCCCTCAGTCGTCCAAGTAAAATCAATGGCAAAGGAGAAATTCTAATTTGTCAACTGGACAAAAGTTTATTTATGTTGAAAATGTTTCTCAGCTCATCCAAGCTGCTTCTTCAGTTCTGGTCAAAATTTTCTTGGACACTGCCTTATATCTGCCTGCAGGAAGGAGCTAACTACAATCAAACGACTCTGAAACGAACACAGTTTTACAACGTTACAATTTTATGAACTCATCTTTTGTTTTTCCAGGTGGCGTTTGAGCAACACAAGGAGAGTCTGGCTCGCATGTTCCGTCAGTACCAGAGTCAAGAATCGTCTTCCACCATTCGCTCCATCTCGCTGGCCAGCCAAAGCTCCGAGACCATGGACTTCGTCAACGGACCTCCTTCGGAAGAAACCGCCCCCTCCACTGTCATTGAACTGACTGTAGACGGGAACTCCCAGAATCCCCCCAGCGAAACCGCCCAGGAGGAGGCAGAAGAACGGGGGCAAACTTCTATAACCGTGTCCAACATTTTAGCGAGAGGCGAGGAGGACGTCAAAGCAGAAGAAGAGCCCGAAGTTGTACCCGTCGTTGAGGCTCCACCAGAAGTTGAAGAAGATAAAGAAACATCGGTGACGGACAGCGCTGTAACCGACGAGGAGAAATCGGAAATTGAGAAAGTCGAGTCGTCAGCTTCCGTGACCGAAGACTCCGTGAATGAAGTGGAAGCCGAGCAGCCGGTGTCTTCAGAGGAGCAAGAAGTTCACGAGAAGCAGATCTGTGATTCGGAAGTAGCGACGGATAACGGCGCGACAGAAGGAGCGAACGTTGTCAGTGAGGGCTCGGCGTCTTCCGTCGGCGACCAAGCGCACGCGAGCGATGCTGTGGAAAGCCGCGAAGAGTCAAACGCGGAAGATGGCGTCGTGAAGGATGAGGAAGTCGAAGAAGAGGAGAAGAAAGCTGAAGCAGATAAAGAAGAACCCGCAGAGGAGAAAGAAGTGTCTGATACGGAAAGTCAAAAGTTGGATTCTCCGCAAGAGGACGTCGTAGAAGCAGCAAAAGATGAACCCGCGGCTGAAGAATCTTCCTCTTCGCAGCCCACAACCGCGGAAGAACAGCCATCCACGAGCTCAGCAGCGCCATCTACGGGAAAGGAAGAAACGGAAGAACAGGCGAGTCAACCTCCAGAGACGGTTGGAGTGACCGCAGAAGAAGACGCATCCACCAAAACGTCTCAAGAGGAGCTACCGACTCCCAGCCCCGTCAAAAAGGAGAGCGTAGACTCAACCAGCAAGACCAAAGAGATTAAAATAGCCAGACTAGATGTTTCCAATGTGGCCTTAGACACAGAGAGACTGGAGCTGAAGGAGACGTCAACAACGGTACGTCCAAACTTTTGACCAAACTATTCCTGTTGCACCAAGGAACGGTTTTATATCAGACAGTATTTCACGGACCAGAGGGAGTTGGGGGGGTGGGGTGGCATGGTTAAGTCCTGGTTAAATCCTGTTTTACTCCTGGTTTTAGACCTTTTTTTTTAGACCTGGTTTAGATCTGGTTTTAGTCCTGTTTTTAGACCTTTTTTTTAGACCTGGTTTAGATCTGGTTTTAGTCCTGGTTTTAGTCCTGTTTTTAGAGCTGTTTTAGTCCTGATGTTAGTCCTGGTTTTAGTCCTGGTTTTGGACCTGTTTTAATCCTGGTTTTAGTCCTGTTTTAGACCTGTTTTAGACCTGTTTTAGACCTGTTTTAGACCTGTTTTAGACCTGGTTTAGACCTGGTTTAGTCCTGGTTTTAGATCTGTTTTAGTCCTGATTTTAGTCCTGGTTTTGGACCTGTTTTAGACCTGTTTTAGTCCTGTTTTAGTCCTGGTTTTGGACCTGTTTTAGTCCTGATGTTAGTCCTGGTTTTAGTCCTGGTTTTAGTCCTGGTTTCGTCCTGGTTTTAGACCTGGTTTAGACCTGGTTTTAGACCTGGTTTAGACCTGGTTTAGTCCTGGTTTAGTCCTGGTTGTAGTCCTGGTTTTAGACCTGTTTAAGTCCTGGTTTTAGACCTGTTTTAGTCCTGGTTTTAGTCCTGTTTTTAGAGCTGTTTTAGTCCTGATGTTAGTTCTGGTTTTAGTCCTGGTTTAGTTCTGGTTTTAGTCCTGGTTTTGGACCTGTTTTAATCCTGGTTTTAGTCCTGTTTTAGACCTGGTTTTAGACCTGTTTTAGACCTGGTTTAGACCTGGTTTAGTCCTGGTTTAGTCTTGGTTTAGTCCTGGTTTAGTTCTGGTTGTAGTCCTGGTTTTAGACCTGTTTTAGTCCTGATGTTAGTTCTGGTTTTAGTCCTGGTTTAGTTCTGGTTTTAGTCCTGGTTTTGGACCTGTTTTAATCCTGGTTTTAGTCCTGTTTTAGACCTGGTTTTAGACCTGTTTTAGACCTGGTTTAGACCTGGTTTAGTCCTGGTTTAGTCTTGGTTTAGTCCTGGTTTAGTTCTGGTTGTAGTCCTGGTTTTAGACCTGTTTTAGTCCTGATGTTAGTCCTGGTTTTAGTCCTGGTTTTGGACCTGTTTTAGTCCTGTTTTAGACTTGTTTTTAGTCCTGGTTTTAGTCTTGGTTTAGACCTGGTTTAGACCTGGTTTAGACCTGATTTAGTGGTGCAGCCAGCACGACGTACTGGAGGAAGGATGGTCCATGCTTTGTACGGGACGGGGGACAGTATTTGAGGGGGGGTTCGCACTGTTGCGTCCCGGTACCGGTGCCTGGTCCGGGCGTTGGGGGGGGGGCCCTGGTGTAAAACACATTCTGGATCTCGGTTGGACTTCCTGGTTAAATAAAGTATTGTTTTTGCAGAACGCGAGTCCGAGCCAGCCCGCAGCCTCGGCGCCGGACCAGCCCAGAGACGGCAGCTCCTCGGCCCCTCGCTCCACCATGTTCCGCATCCCGGAGTTCCGCTGGTCGCACATGCACCAGCGCCTCCTCACAGACCTGCTCTTCTCCATCGAGACGGACGTCCAGATGTGGAGAAGGTGAAACATCCTCTGCTTTAATAACAAAGACCAGCCTGTATGAAGTGATTAAAAGTGCTCTACTTGACTTTTATGGTTTTAAAAATGTGAAAACAGACTCTTTAAATACGTTATTTTCTTAAGTGACCCAAATATATTCCACACTTTCTGAGCTTATATGTGTTTTTCACAAATTTATGACGCCCGAGTGGAGTTTTGCCATCACGCCAATGCCAGCAACATCCATCATACTAACAGCGCCCTAAAAATGCACAATAAAAACGCTTCAGATTTAGATATAGGACACAGCTGGTTCACTCTGACCAGAAGAGCTGATTTTACAATATAACTGTACTGGGGCAAAACTAAACAAAGTAAGTCTCTTTTAAAATAGTGCTGTCAGAAGTAAGTGTAATTATCCAAAGTTACACAATGGTCTCTTACGTACAATTGTGTTTGTATTATAAGTAACCGACACTATTAGAGTTTGAAATGTTGGTATCGTAACTAGGGGTGTCAAATTATCGCGTTAATTGCGATTAATTAATTACAGTCATATTTAGCGCATATTTAAACCAGGTCTAAACCAGGACTAAACCAGAACTAAAACCAGAACTAAACCAGGTCTAAACCAGGACTAAACCAGACTAAAACCAGAACTAAAAACCAGAACTAAAACCAGGTCTAAACCAGGACTAAACCAGGACTAAACCAGGACTAAACCAGGACTAAACCAGGTCTAAACCAGGTCTAAACCAGGTCTAAACCAGGTCTAAACCAGGACTAAACCAGGACTAAACCAGGACTAAACCAGGACTTAACACCAGGACTAAAACCAGGATTAATCCATTCCAGGACTAAACTAGGACTAAAGTAGGTCTAAACCAGGTCTAAATCAGGACTAAAACCAGTGATCTCATATATAAATCATTTCTCTATCAATAATATTTTTAATATGGTTAAGGAAAGACTGGACTTTTTATTGTCTTTAAGTAAACAAAAGTTATTATGTTCAGATTTCCTCGTCTTTGCTACTTTACAACAAACAGTTTCTTATTCATGGAGACTTGGGCTCAACAGCCAAATTGGAGAGATTTGTTAAACAATAAATGACTTTATAAAGTCACTTTTTAAAATCTATATCAGTCTTTTGATCTGCCACAATAATGTAATAATGAATTTAAATGAAAATACCTCAAATTGAAGCTTTTCTCAGCAATTTTTAGGTGAGATTAAAATGAGATTAATTAGATTAATTAATTACAGATCATAATTAATTAATCTCTCAATTTTTTTAATCGCATGACAGCACTAATCATAACAACACTGGTGTCACTCTTTGTTTTTGTCTTCAGTCACTCCACAAAGACGGTCCTGGACTTCGTGAACAGCAGTGAGAACGTGGTGTTTGTGCACAACAGCATTCACCTCATTTCTCAGGTGGTGGACAACCTCATCATGGCCTGTGGAGGAATCCTGCCCCTGCTGTCGGCCGCCACCTCCTCCTCGGTGAGTGTCTGTGTGCAGGACCGTCCGCTGAAGTGTGGGGGGCCCGGGGCAAGAAGACTCATACCGGACCCCCACTCTAATATTAATAGGCAGAGTGCGACAGACCCCTTTGTCCCCCAATGTTGACTCCTGTGTGTGTGTGAAAGAAGGGAAGAAACGGCGAAACACGGAAAGAAATATAGAGAAAGAGCGAGATTTTTGAGACCTGTGGCAGAGAGACGAAGTGCACAGAGGAAACAGGAGGACGAACACAAGAGTGACAGAGAGAGCTACCGTATTTTTCAGACTATAAGTTGCTCCGGAGTGTAAGTTGCACCAGCCAAAAAATGTGTATTGGAGAAAAAACATACCATATTTTACGCACCATAGTTTGCGCTCTTAGGCCTCCAACCCCATCAAAAAAACGACTGCGCGCCCGACAATCCAGAGCGCCCCATACGCGAATCCACTCGAGTGTCCCAGCACGACTTCAGTAAACTACAAAGCCGCACCACCCGCAGAACACGCAAACACACACGGAGCAGACAGCGACCGCGCGGCGAAACACACCCACAGACACACTCATCACTCCACGCCGACGAGGAACGGAACGGAGGAACGAACCGAAAAAGCGAGCGCAATGTGCCACTTCTAGACACGACTGAACAACTGAGTCACTGCGAACACGCCGACAATCCAGCGTCCCAGACACACCCTCCCTACACGCCACAACTGAACAAAGCCCAGAGTCACCGTGAACGAACAAACAAACAAAACCACTCACCCATCACACTGTTGGGTTTCCTTTAAAGTCCCACGTGGTTTATTTGTGAAAAAAGTTTGAAAATAGACCTTTTAATGAAGTGTGATTTATAATCCAGAGCGTCTAATAGTGCGGAAAATACGGTATATAAGTCGCACTTTTTTGGGGAAATTTATTTCATAAAATCAGAGACCAGGAACTGACATTTCCTGTTGAAAGTCAAGTTGTAGTAAAAACAATAAAACAGAACAACAGACTGTTAACGTCACATATGAACAGTTCTTCAGATAAACTATAACATAAACAACAGAACAGAACAAGTTTAACAAACTCTCCATCTCACTCCAAATCACTAAATCCATTCAATTCTTCATCCTCGGTGTCACTTCTGAGGTAAACGTTGCGCCGCAAACTCTTCTGTGTCGCTGTCGTCAGACTCAGCATCAGTTCCAGTTAGAATTATTCGGGTCTTTCTGAATCCCGACAGGATGGTTTCTGTGTCACTGAAGTTCAGACTTTGTCCGTCCATCCAGTGACTTCAGGAAAGTTTCATGGTTCATCCTCCCGGTGTCACAAGTTTCTCTCTCACTCCAAACTTTCTTTCTGCTGCTTGATTATTGTTTTCAGCTGCAGATTTCACGACTATAGTTTGTAATCTGCAAAATACGATTTTCTTTTTGGGGGCATTTGTGTTCAGTCTTCTCAGTCGTCTTTATAAGTTTGTATACATTTTAAATAGTTGAGTGGTGCAGAAGTAACGGTGCGATCGACTGACATGATACAGACAGGACAGAGGCTCTTTCTGCAGGAGACATGCGCAGTAGAGCCAAGTGACAGTGGTACAGGAGGAACAGGAGCAGCAGATACTCACACACAAGACTAGAACCTCTCACCGCTTCACTGTGAACATTTTAATTAGGGCCGGGCACGTTAACATGTTAATTTTGCGTTAACTAATTCACTAAGTCATTATCGCCAACAATTATTTTAACGCTGTTCACGCAGTTTTTATTATTCATTTATTTATTTTATTGTAAACGTCTGTTGGTCACTATCTTTTATTTTGAAAAACTCCATTGCGAGTGTTTCTTTAAGTTTGATGTCTTTTCTTTACACTTTTTTCACTTTTTTTTGACCACGTGAGATGCAACGTGTGCGAGCCCCCGTGAGCCGCGGGCCCGGCCGCGTGCGCTCTGAGCTGAGCTTGTTTCTTTAGTGCTGCAGGTGTTTGTTTAGTTCAGCGCTGCAGGGGGAGTCACTAATTTACCCAGAAACCACTGGAAGAAAAACTGTGATTGGTCCATTTCCATTCCATTATATTAACCCTTTGTTTCCCAAGAAATATTAGTCCAAGTTTAAAACAATAATCTAGAAATTATTACTAGTGCCGTGTTTATTAATCACTGCGTAAAAAATATTGAAAAAATATATTAGTAGTACAAAAGTTCATTCAATATTTTTTCTTGAGCCTTCACTGAAAACCCTGAAGACTCTGATGGTTTCCCTCTGGAAGAAACGCCGTTTGCACAACAAATGTTTGGCTCTTTCATTTACATTTCCAATAAAAGTGCAGCTGTACTCTACTTTCTTATTCATTAATTGGTTTTGTGTATAACATGCGATCAGTTACGATTAATCGCACTCGAACTCATGCGATTAATGCAATTAATTTTTTAAATTTTTGCCCAGCCCTAATTTTAATATATAAGTCGCAGGAAACGGCCAGACCATGAAAAAAAGTGCAACTTATAGTCTGAAAAATACGCTCCTTTCATTTTTGGCTCCACATACTGAGATGGAGAGAGAGAGGGAGGGAAGAGAGGAAGAGAGGAAGAGGAGAGCTACTTTTGTCTGTGACTCCATATATACACAAGGAGAGAGATGGAGGGCGAGCTATTGCGGCGTACACCCAGAATGTAAGGTATCCATCCACATTGACCTTTCCCAATCGCATTAGCTACAGTTAGCCGCTTTCCTAACGTCGTTACTGTGTTTCCATGACCCCGGCGACTGCGGCTCTCCCACATAATTCTTTAGTTCTGCCATTGACCCGCTGTCAGAGAAAAGGGGCTTTGTGTGCGCGCTACAATTCAATTACTACCTTTGTGTTCCCGGAAATAACAAGAAATAACATGGAGTACTCTGTAGATTTGAGGCTGGAGGAAAGTGCTGCAGGAGCTCGTGCGCGACGTCATCAAGAAAATGACCAAAAACGATGTTAAATCTTAATTTTAAATCTGATTTTCACAATCTCGGTCACGATATAACGGCTAAATTTCATCCGTTGTCCTAAGAAAAGCCAAAAAGAGGTCCAGTTCAGTTTTTCACGCTCTGAATCTCCCCTCCCTAAGTCTCTCCCCCTTCAGAGCGCTATCACAATATCCAAATCCAAATCCACTTTATTTACATACCGTATTTTTCTGAGTATAAGTCGCACCAGCCAAAAAATGTGCAATGAAGAAGAAAAAAAACATATAAGTCGCACTTTTGGGGGAAATGTGTTTTATAAAATCAGAGACCAGGAACCGACGTTTTATTTTGAAAGTCAAGTTCTAGTAAAAACAATAGAACAACAGACTGTTAACGTCACATATGAACAGTTCTTCAGATAAACTATAACATAAACAACAGAACAAGTTTAACAAACTCTCCATCTCACTCCAAATCACTAAATCCATTCAATTCTTCATCCTCGGTGTCACTTCTGAACAACTCCTCGACCTCCGGAGGTAAACAGAGCGACGCAAACTCTTCTGTGTCGCTGTCGTCAGACTCAGCATCAGTTCCAGTATTTTATTTTAATTTTCTTTTTATCCGTAACAGAATAAGGGAAAAAAATGAAAAAATTCAATACTATCAAAGAGAGAGTGAAGTGAAAGAAGGACGAAGGAGGGAAGAAAAAAAAAAAAAGAAGCAAATTGTTGTAGATTTGTGATTTGAAGCTGCCGTCTCTATTTGACTGTTAATAAAAATTTGAATTAAAAAAAAAAAAGAATTATTCGGGTCTTTCTGAAGTCCAGGCTTTGTCCATCCATCCAGTGACTTCAGGAAAGTTTCATGGTGCATCCTCCCGGTGTCACAAGTTTCTCTCTCACTCCAAACTTTCTTTCTGCTGCTCGATTACCGTTTTCAGCTGAATATTTCACAAATTGCAGTTTGTAATCTGCAAAATCTGATTTTGTTTTTGGGGGCATTTGTGTTCAGTCTTCTCAGTCGTCTTTATAAGTTTATTTAAATGTTAAATTGTTCAGTGGTGCAGAAGTAACGGTGCGATCGACTGACATGATACAGACAGGACAGAGGCTCTTTCTGCAGGAGACATGCGCAGTAGAGCCAAGTGACAGTGGTACAGGAGGAACAGGAGCAGCAGATACTCACACACAAGACTAGAACCTCTCACCACTTCACTGTCAACATTTTAATATATAAGTCGCAGGAAACACCCAAAGCATGAAAAAAAGTGTGACTTCTAGTCTGAAAAATATGGTAGACATTTTACATTTTACAAACAAAGCATTTTCCAAAGTTCTGCTCAGAAATCATAAAATGAAGACAACATAAAGTTATTTACTAAAAATGTGGTCATACCGGGCCTTAAACAATAAAACCAGTAAAATCAAATAAAAGCAAAACCATAAAAATGAGAAAATAGCAGTAAATAAGTACAATAAGAGAATAAAAGTGGGTTTGTTAAGTTGCAGTGTACAGTTTTCTGTCACGTTTTTGTAGATTTATGGAGAATTGTCGTGTGGGATCATGGGTGATGTAGGCTTGTGGGCACAACATTTTACAGGTAACGGCAACGAGAGTTTGAATAGGGCCAGGAGAGATCGCTAAATTACTCAAACCTGCATAGACGACATCTTAAACCTCTTCAAAAACTTGATTTTCATATTACTCCATTTTTAAAGACTTTTTTGAAGGCTGAGTAGTTGTCACAGTTTCTAATGTGCTGTGACAGTGTATTCCAAAATATTCACGAGTGGGTTAAAATAAGTCTCATTTCTTCCCACTCCATTTCAAGCATCAATCCTTCATTTGTTAGACTCAAATAGTTCAGACTGTGTTAATCTCTGTACCACTTTGTTTGTTCTGCTCTGACATAGTTCGAAATAAAGATTAAAAAAACAAAATGTATTTTACTTACTTAAAGGTTGTATGGAGGATTTTTTTTCAGTTTAAATTGTCAATGAAAGTTTAAAATACCATTACAGAGACGCAGCAGCTTTGTAATTATGATAACCAAAAAAAAAAAAAGAATGAAAACCCATCAACTGTGGACGTAGAGAGGCCAGATAAACATCAGCCAATAGATAGCGAGGCTCCCTCATTATTTATTGGCTGTTAAGTTGTCAGTCAGACTCCCTATGTTTCTAGTGTAACTGAGTCGCCGGCGTGTGGGGATTTCGTGGTTTATGCAGCGGTTCTCAGAGGCTTTTTCAAACTGCAGCTTCCTCGCAATTCGCGCAAAGTTTGTCGCGACGGCGGACGAGAATCCACGACCGGTTCGCCGCAAAAGAAAGTCAGTTTTTGAGGTCGCTGAAAGAAGAAGAGAAGGGGAAAAAGGGCGAAGACAAACTGAGGTGATTCTTGGAGATTCCTTCCAGTGAGACGAAGGGTCTAAAAACTGATGCGTCGGTCGCTAAATTACTTCTAGACGGGTCACTTCAACAGTAATTCGGAACGCGCACTGGCTGTAAACAAGCGTGATTTCTGGAGTAACGAGGCGGGGGAGGTGTTTCTACTGAGGAGCTGTGGAGGAGGAAGGTGATGTCACACATGCACGACATTTGAAAAAGGACTGTCGCTGTATGTCACTTCCCTTAAAAAATCCTCTATACAACCTTTAATTTACATTACTTTCTTTACTTATGTTACTTACATTTCTTACTTCACTTACTTTACTTTCTTAATTTGCTTACTTTACTTACTTAACTTTCTTTACTTTACTGACATTACTTACTTTTCTTACTTTGTCTTTTTGTTCACAGCATGAGTTGGAGAACATTGAGCCGTCCCAGGGCCTGGCTTTGGAGGCTTCAGTCACGTATCTCCAGCGCCTGGTGGGTCTGGCGGACGTCCTGGTGTTCGCGAGCTCCCTGAACTTCACCGAGATCGAAGCGGAGAAGAACATGGCGTCCGGAGGCATCCTGCGACAGTGCCTCCGACTGGGTGAGGCATTCATATACGATTTCAGTGGTTTATTTTAGCAGGGCTGTAGTCTTCTAAAGAATTCTTGTTGGACTAAAGACGTTGGTGATGTTTGATTGATTATCCGTCCATCCATCTATTCATAC